TTGTGGGAAACCTTGTGAAGTTTTCTTTAACATTCCCTAATTATTCTGAAGTCATTGTTCCATTTATCTGAATGCATTTTACTTTTTGCCTCTGTTTGATATTTACAAAAAAGCACCTTTCCTAATTTCCTATACGATGATCTCTTCCGGCTGAAGAAAAGCTTGGCCTTTTCCTCCAGGCAGCACCACACCTTTGGTTTAAAACTCATTTTCAGGGTAGAGACTTTTGTCTTAAGTGAGTAGTTTTAGTGCGTGCTGGACGTTTGCTGGACGTTACCGTGCTGCCCTCCACATGGCCCTCTTTTCTGCCTCCAGGGCTCGTTTCTCTGCGGGGGACAGGTCCCTGTCTGGGGCCACGGCCAGCTCCGGGCTCTGCATGCGGAGTCGCTCCTGGTGTCTGCGCTCTGCCTTTGCTGTGCGGATGGGTGCAGACGACTCCCCGGGGTAAACCGGTATCAGGCTGATGACACATTAAACGCTTTGAGAAATAATGCCACTCACAGAAAATCTGAGGTTTTTTGACAGCCCGGCGCGTTGTAATTACCCCGTCATAGAGCTGGGGCGCTGCTCCAGCCTGAAGCTGTCCTCCAGAGAATTCCTCTGAGAGTCTCCTCTTCCATCAATGGACGACGGTCTACAAACAGAAAAAAGCTACTCATTAGCAGAAAGGATTAAAATGTAGAATGAAAAAAAACAAAACAAAACCACAAAGGGATCCTCACCCAGAGCTGCCACAGTAGCTGGGTGGAGTGGAGCAGTGCTGAGATGGAGTGGATGCAGGCTCTACCTTGTACTCAACTCCATCCAATAGGACTTTCCCCGTCGCCTTCATCTGAGCTACCTGTTTAGCCAGGTCCTCCTCTTCCTCCTCCTCCTCCTCATCCAGCAGGTACTGTCTCGCCCGCTGCTCAAACTTCCTTTCTGGTAGATGGAAAGTCACCTGAGTAGGACCTTTTTTCATTGCTCATCTTAAAAGGGACAGCGCGGGGCAGCGGCTAGAAACAAACCTTCTTCCTCTCGCATTTTCTTTAGGTCATCCTCTCCAACAAGGGACACTCGAGGTTTGGGTTTGTCTGGTGTCTGCTGCTTCACATCAATCTCAAAGTATTTCTGCCTGTCCCTGAAGGAGCGCTGCTCTGGGCTGTTCTTGCCTCCAGGAGACGGACTCTGAAGGAATTACAAGACCAATAACAAAAATAAGGAGAAGAACAAAAGAGATTATTGCTGAAAGCTAAATTCCTGCAACATTCCCGATAAAGCAGCCAGCTAACGTTGCAGAGCCTTTTGCAGCCAGAGAGAGGAGAGGACAGATGAATCAGACCAAAAAAGAAAGAGCTAAATTTGCCATTGGATTAGATCCCAGCCCTGTTATCCTGATTTCGTATTAGTCGATTGGCAGTCGTTACTAATGGAGGAGGCAGAATTTCCGGGAGCAGAGACACCGCCACCTATCAAGCCAAGCGCATCCCAGCCCAGATGTGCAGCAGGGCTGCTCCAGCGGGTACCTGCAGGTCCTGAGACGGCCTGGAGAGGCGAGGCACTGCTGCCAGGCTCAAATACTCCCGGCGGTCAGAGGAGAGGGAGGCCCTGCTGGTCAGAGCCATGCCAGCTCCCTCCTGACCTTCTACATCATCATCAAACACCTCGTTGTTCAGCTCAGGCTGAAAAGGCCACATTTGTTATCAGCACACTCGGAGCACCGGACAGCTGGAGGATTTTCGTCCTCATTTCAGAAACGTTGTATTAAGCCAGAAGTGAGGAAGTTAAAAGACACTCCCCAATACTTCTGAATAATCTGTGTTAACATTTTTTTAATATTTACAAATGCAAATTTGATTGTAAACAAAGGGGATTTAAATCTTTTTCATTTCAGGGGTCAGCAACTTTTGCAAGTTCTGCCCATTTTTTCCTCCTTTTCACAAACAAACCCATCAGGAATGGATCTCCACAGCTAATAAAACGTGTCACTATTGCTGTGCTTTATGATTAATACGGTCACTCACCTCTGGAGAAGGTTGTTTTGGCTGGAAATTGTTCCTCACACCATAAAGGTCCTGTTGGCAGAGCAGAAATTGTTGGTGGTAGTTAGACAAAGACGAGCAGACCGTCGGACTCTAAATATGATCAACCATAACCGTAGGGCTGCACGTTAGGACACAAAACGGACGCACGGATGAATCAAGAGGCAACGCCAATGTCACAGATGACGACAGTGGAGCACAGAGAGAACAATGATGGAGGCATTCCACATGTCACGGCACGTCACAGTTCCTCCCCCGACCAGAGCCAGGCTCGGCGTGGGGCAGCCTGCCTCCGTCAGGCGGGGGGCGGGGGGAGGCCAACCAACAGCACAGCATGCTTGTGTTGCACAGACCGGGCCGGGCGCGGCAGCGCGGCCTACCTGCGGCGGCTCCAGCACAGCCAGAGAGCGAGGCACCGCGGCAAACGCCTTGTATGCCTGCTTGACATTCACTGGAAACTCATCGGGCGAGGTGGGGGAGGGGGCGCGAGGCTGCAGGAG